TCCCTCTCTCCCTCTAACGTACATACAGTTCTCACCGGACGTTGTAATTTTGGGTAGCAGGCTTAAACAGAGGAACCTTCACAACTCTTCACTTCTCATTTCTACGTTCTGCACTTTTAAGTTCTTCTTTTATATGTAAAAAAAAACAACAAAAAAAACAAAAGGGGTGGGGTGGGTTGGGGGCGGTCAACAACTATATGTACAATGTTAATTAGATTTTGAGGTCTGACTCAAATCACAGTGTTGTGATACTGGCATGAAAGCAGCCACCTATTGTGGCTGTAGTTCCTCAAATCTCTGTCTCTGTTGCTTTCGATGCATCTCTTGAACAACCACTGTGGTTGCATTTGGTCTTGTCTGATTATAATCCGAGCCTAATCGCTTCCACATCTAGCTTCTAAGAGTTGATTGCAGTATGAGCAAGTATTCAGATCGGTTACTTCACATGATCGGATGAACCAGCTGTCGTTAAAATAAAGAGTAACTGATGCCTTTTACTCAGATGTTTCTGGGATAAGCACAAATTGATCATGTTTAGCTGTGGTCTCTCCTATTGAACTGGAACACGCCTGGTTTGACAGTTTGTGCTCAGCACTGATTTGCTTGTTTGCAGTCCTGCTGCTACACGTTGTGAGCCCCGGGGTGAGGCAGATTACAGAATGAATGGGACGGATTGAAAAGGCACAGACACCACTTTGAGTCACGCTTTGGGAATGTGATGAACCTGCAAAGTGATTATTGCTTTGAGCATCCAACTGCATATACATGTCGGGGGCACACACACACACACAGCTGAAGACCTATATTCATACACTGACATCTTTGAATGACAGAAACATTTGCGTGCATGCAATGTACACTCTTTTTTTTTCTTTTTTCATTTTTAAAAAAAAAAAAAAAGGTTAAAATGAAACTGCTCACTCAAACCAAATTCTGAACACATGTCCCGAATAAATGGTGAGGGGCTACAGTTTGGGGTCACACCTGTCATTCAAAAACAAAAGGCTGGTCTATACTCTCTCACAGCTGACACTGACACATGGTCCTGAATGTATATGTATAGACCTGATGAGAACAGGTGGACTAAGACAGATGAATAACACATGCACCCATAGACTGTTTTGCTCCACAGATATATCCTAAGAAGACAAATTATAGACAAGAGCAAATGCATGTTCCATATGGCTCCTCCTCACTGAGGCGTACACATGTGCCCATATATTGCACATGCCTCACACACATCGCCCTTTTAAAACACAGTTCCAATATCTGTCTCTTTGGTGGTGTAAAAAACCATATAGTAAAAAAAAAGCCACAGCCATTTCGTCTGGCTCAGCAATGTCAAGTGCTGTTCAGTCGTAAAGGAAGAGTCTTTGTTATGGCTCTGCTGTCTGTTCCAGTTCCAGATGCAAAGCTTTGTGCTTTACTGCTGTTTTCTCGCTTATGGAGCAGAGTCCCACCCCTCCTCACTGTCTACTGGCTGAGCCCAGCTGGGAGCTCAAATCTCATTGGCTGAGGGGCACACCAGGGAGGATCTGGGAGGTTCTCCTTTGTTTACATGCTAGTAGAGAAAGCCCCAATAACAACTGTTACCTTGGGCAACCAGACAATCTACAGTTATAGCCAGACAGACACACAGGGGTGTAAGCTGAACATACACACACAAACACACACACAGATAATTAGGTAACCAGGTGTCAAAAAACAGACCAAATGAAGAGCCTTTGTTCTATAAGATTCTATGCTTTATGCTCAACATGAGACAAAATATATGCTATGTGTATGCATATTTTTAGTTGGGTTCAGTAGGCAATCATGTGGTTTCATTGTCCGATGAAACTTTCCAAAGGCAGCTCGGGTATACATTCTGAAAGCCCAGTTGGCTGCAGACTGTGACAGAAACAAGTGGCTCTGTTCTTCCCAGGGTGCATGTTCCTGTTTGTGTTTGTAATAAGACAGGATCATATATCTTGATACTGACTTACAAAAGAGCTTAATCCAATTCCTGCAGCTCAGACTTCCAATCTCTCTATACTTCAACCTAACAAGCTGCAAGGAGGAAGGCATTTAGAATCTGTGTGTGTGTGCATGTGTGTGTGTGTCATCCATTCTCCAAGACTACGCAAAGTGGTCAGCACAGTAATGGTGCTTTATTGTGATTGAAGCTCCAGCATAACAGCAGGAAAATCAATGGGATTCTTTGAGAAGCTGAGTCTCTTCAGGTGTGTGTGTGCATCTGTTTAACTTTTTGGTATGCATGTTTATCTTATCTCTCTTTTATAAGTAAATCAACATCAAGTTGCGAGGCTGCTGAAACAAAAGTAAAGTCAAGCCTCTGCATGACTGACTTTCATATGAACTGCTCTCCTTCTCTCACCACACAAAACCTCTACATCCATCCCCGCAGCAGCTCTCTATCAGGAAACCCAATACCTAAATTGTGACATCATAATCTGAAACCATGGCAACAAAACCACAGTACAGTGTAAACAAACCCTCTGTGCCGTTGTTGGATTCTGTGATTGCATCACTTATGTTTGCATTGCATCATAATATTTCATCCAGCCTGCATGGAGAGGGGCAGTAATGCACACAGTGTCTGTGAAAAAGTGGCAAAACAGATCATAAAGACAAAGGAACTGTCCAAAACATTTTTTTCAGAATACAACAGAAACATAAGTACAGATGTTTTTTTTTCCCCTTAAGGTTACCATTTGATTTCATAAGAGTGTACTTTTTCATTACTATGTGTGTGTAAGTATAGCAAAAATTGTGATATTTTACAATCTGACACTAAGGGTTAATGTGTATTTTAATGTGTAAAAATGAGTAAAATATCAGACTTTGTTGCAAATCTTCCAACCTATAAAGTCTATTAATTGTGACCTTAGTAAAGGTGGTCTTTGTTTCAGACAACATGGCCCACCTCCACTTTAAAACTCCAGGAAACCCTGAGTCTTGTTTAAGTATTCTTTGATTATACACTTACTGATTTAATTCAAAACTTTTCTTTACACACTTTTAATATGGCTTATATGGCTGCTCGTGTTAAAACAACATTGGCAATTACAGGCTGGAAATGGACAGAGTGGTGATGTGTTCGCTAAAACCATGAGGGCTGAATTCTCAGTACAGAAAACCACTGAAATCTCACTCTTATTTACATGGCTCATAACAAGGGAAAGACTTAAAAACATTTGCTGAAAGGTAGTCTTTCACCACAAGTGTACAATATGTCTGTGAGGAACTAGTAATACAGAGTCTGTGTTTCGTGCGGTGCGGGTCTTAAGGATCAGTGCATTCTGCTGAGTAATGAAGATTTTGTGCCCGCAGACAGACCAGCAGGACTGTGGGAGATAATACTGTCAACACACGTGTGGGTTGCCAGTTATACCCCTCTTGGACACACACCCATTCCTGACCCACATACCTGGATTCTCTTGAGGTCAGGTTGAGTCCTTGACATGGACTCAGATTCTATAATGATACGTTTGAGAAATGCATCAAAACCACTAATGGACACACACCATTATAGAATGGAAACTCAGACATTTCATTCACATATTTAAATTCCTTTGAGTGCAATAATAATGGAGCAGAGAGCATTCCAGTTGTAACACCCACCACACACACACACATACACAATGACAGCATCAGCCCTTATGGGAAACAGAAGACAGCAAGAGAGACCAAGTAAGAGGAACAGGAGAGAGAGGAGGGAAGGAGGGGGTTCAAAGATCAGAAAACAGATGTAAATCGTTTAGCAAACTCCCCTCCAAATGACTAACACATGTGCGAGAAACTTTCCCCTCCCTGCACACACACTCTCTTGAAAGCTCTGCACCTAGACAATATAACATACTCATTCATACCACCTGCTTTTGTCACTTCTCCTCTTGTTAGAACACATCTGATAACCCCGAGTTAAACTACCTCACATGTTAAAGCTCCTCGGTTGTATTTGCCAGGCTGCTATTTCGCCTCCACCCAGCAAACACACACACTCAACCAACCTCCTGGCTATATAGCTGGGTTCAACCATGTTTGTTTAACATCTTGTTAAAGTTTGACAGAGAGTATAAGCCACTATGAAAAAGAAACACCAAGTTTTTGAGACTGGCAGACCTGCAAGATCTCAAAATACCACACACCTCTTCACATGACAGTTGGTGTGTGTGTGCCCTGATGACAGCACAGGCCAGTGTGTCAGCTCTGACTGAAGCCATGTGCTGTGACACAGAGAGCTTTAGTCATTCCTGAGCTATTACACACACACAGCCTTACCCAAAAATGATGAACACAGCTCACCCATAACATATGGTCTATTCTTGTGTTGTTCGTCTCACAAACAGGCCTAATTTCAAGGTACATGATTATTTGATGGCTATGGTGACAAATCAGAAAAACAAGCAAGTCTTGCGTTGTACAGATTGTAAAGCCAAATGTCATTTTGTGACAGCTTTAGAACAAGAATGATTCTGGTTAAGAAGATTTGTGACAAGATATTGCCAAGTGTAATATCATATGTGAACATAACATGTTAACTCCCAAAAATCTTCTCTAAACACCACAGACACTAGGAATAACAAACTGAGATTTTCTTCTACTGCTTTTCTCATAAGGTGCGAAGTGTAAACTGCCCATGAAAACAGGAGTCCGCTCCAAAGTAAATGTAACAGTAGTCTGTACATGCTGTACAACAACCTCAACGTGTTTGTTCGTCACTGTCCCGTCGGCTACAGTCATGCGCTACAACAAAAGGAGACAATGAAGCAAGAGTTTGTGTTTTGCAATCTCATTCTCTCTCTCTCCCACCTCGGTCTTTTCTTTTCCTCGCTACTTTCCAGCTTCTGAACCCAAAACCCGCTGCTTCTGCAGACGGGGGCAGACAGACAGGTTAAAACGTGCCGCTTTTGTTAGTGCGCTCGTGAAGCAACCTCCACGCAAAACCTCCACGAGCTCCAGACTACAAATACACACACACACACACACACACCTACCTCAAAGTCGACCCCGACGCGACTTCCCCAACTCAACTTGTTCAATTTTTAAAATGACAAAGTGCCTCAGTCCGCATTGGAGCGTCTCCGGATCACTTCTCGGTTGAGGTGTGTCTGCGCGACTCTGCTTTTGGAAACTGTTCAATAGCTCAAGCACACACACACACATACACACTCAGTCAGGACCCATAGAAAATGTAAATTTAAGCTGGGTGGGAGGGATGGAGTGACGTCGGTAGAGGGCTCCTCCCCCTCCGCCTCTTTCTTCATCTGCTCATTGAAGTATATGAGTAGGGACTCCCAGAGCTCAGGGCGGGGCGTGGATGGAGAACGAGCACAAACACACGCGCGCTCAAGTGAACACAAGATTTAAAAAATGTGTCATAAAACTCTTACTGAAAATTATTATAACCTGTGATAAGGTAAGTTATCATTTTGGTATAATTTTCTATAATAAGACATATAGGCCAACTGAGCCTCAAAATACATTAGTTTGCCAATTATATTTTTAGAATTTTTAAAATAATTATAGGCAATAGAATTTCAGTGTTATGCCTTATAGCTGTAATAACTAAATTCTACTTTAAAATGTACTTTTTAAAACCATAATATAAAGCCATAACATATAGTTTTTCCCTTTCCCTTAATGCAGTTGCCCTCAGCTCTGCAGGAGCTGTAGTTTCCTTCAGCTTGTCTGGTTTTATGGCCTGCAACTTGCTCTCATGAACCTTGTTTCCAGCTGCAGCTGCTGTCGACCAAAAATAAACCCAACGCACAAGTTAGTGGAAACCAAACCAGAGCAAAAAGGAGTGATATGCTGTGCAATTTTTTATACACATTTCTATAAAACTCAGCCTGATATATGTGATATCTTTGGAAACTCCTCTAGAATAAAAAAAAATATATGTGGGTTTAACTCTTGGCTCCACAGCATAAGAAGTTTTTAATGACTGGTGACTGATGTCCTGAAAAAATTGTCGTTTTTTTTTTTACTTTAAAAACTTGAAGGCGAAGTTTGCAGCATTCCCTCAGACAGATAATTTGATCATTCGTCACTTTGACTATAACAGATCAGTCTGCTGCCTGTTGTTGTCGCAGACTGAATATCCTGAGCATTCTGTGATAAAGAGTAATCTGCTTATGGATGAAGGGTCAGTGGATCTGCTTATCCACCACCCTTCTGTTAAATCAGCTCACTGAAACCCCTAGTTTCACAGTGTTCAGTCGGTTTATGCTGCTTTGCTTATTTCATATATCCTTCTTGACTACATCTCATTGGGTTTGATCTCTGTTGGATAAAGATCTGAGTTGCTGCACAACTGCAGAGCAGCCTTACTGGAAATGACAAAAAGAGTACAAAACAGCCCAAGGGTCTGGTTTGAAATCTAAACATGTGGGAGGTGGGGGCGTCAGAGAAGTAAAACATTCCTAAGGACCTTCTCATAATTTAGGAGAGGGGTGACTAAGAGTGTTGAGCTGAACAATAGGATGAGTCATGACAGAGGGTCTCCTCTGACAGGGAGGACACTCCCTCCTGAGACCCCCACAGTCAGAGCTCCCACCATGCAGGAAACAGATGTGTACAGAGTGAGTGTGTGTGTGTTTCTGTGTGTTTATGTGTGTGCACGCATGCATGTGGTTGTGATGAGAAAACAAACATTTATGCGGCAACTATCGCTATAACCATACTATTTCACATATATTGTATATCTATTGCTTAAAGGTGCTATCTATAAGTTTTGTAACTTTGTAACTATTTGTAACTTGTTGCTTACCAATCGTTAGCCTACCAATTATGGTGGTGTTGATTGTCCCTTGACAAGAGCTTCGGCCATTGTTGTCTTTATAATAGGAGAGGTTATAATAAGCCTTTGAACAACGCTACGTCTTCAAGGCTGATTGGAGGCTACAGTAGGTCGCTATCGGAAAATGACGAGATGGTCTGGGGGCTAGCTGGTTAGCATGCTAACTTCAATAGAAGAAAAACTGTGATCGGGACAAGGGTTAACACTGGCATTGCTTTCCACCACTGGAGACAGCTCTTGGTGAATAAAGGGATGAAGTTTGATACTGAACGTTTCTTCTAGACTGGTAAGTAAACAGCTGTTAATGCTAACATCGGCTATGTAGCAATAGTAAAACTTACAAATAGCTCCTTTAAAAGAATATATTGACATTTTGGGATACACTTATTCTCTTTCTTGCTGAGAGTTAAAGGAGGAGCTTGATATTACTCTCATATCTGTATACTAAATTTGTAGCTAGAGCCAGCAGCTGGTTAGCTTAGCTTAGCATAAATACTGGAAACAAAGAGAAACAGCTAACTTCAAAGGTAACAAGATCCTCCTACCTGCACATCTAAAGCCCACTATTGTATCGTGTTCTTGTTCCTGTTTAATCTGTACAAAAGTGTAAGAGTAAGAGAGTGTAAGTGTAAAAAAACAATGTGCTGTTGAATGGGAGATTATGGGTTGCCTCTTTCTTAACCAGGTACAATTGCCAGGCAGTCAATGGAGACTCCAGGAAGAGTCCCAGCAAAGAAATAGTCCAGCACATAACCCCCTCCAAAAAGAACTCTTGTCAAGAAAGCTAATGAGTGTATTTCCCATAATGCGGGGCTATTCTTTAAACCTAAAACTTAAAAGTTAACTCAAAAGTTTAAATAACATTACAAACATTACTATTAAAACTCAAGTCATGCTAGATATAAAACTTTAACCGCTATAGGAAGAAAGTACTTCCTCACTGCTATGGCAACAGGCCTATTTATGTAAAGCAACTTCACTTGTTATCGGCAGAGATATTGCATCTACCAGTAGTTTCCGTTTCAGGTGGTTTTGGGGAAGTTACATACTTCTTCTTCCAAACCACAACTGAGATGAAAAGATTTAGGGGAACAGTTGCATTGCTGAGTCACGCCCCAAATAGTGGTTTGCAGAAGTGAAAACCCCTTTCTCTGTAGAAAAGACACAAATTTCCATTTGCAACCACTGTGTGCTCTTGACCCCGATAACCAACAAGTTTTGTTTTGCCTGTATGCAATGTGATGCCAGCTCTAAATGTCAAGATGTCCCTTGACTGAACTATGAGGACACATATACATACAGTGCATAGTCCTGTACACATCATTTTGCTGGCTGATTGGGTGATGTGGAGTTTGGCCACTGAAGATCATCTTGTTACCTCTTCTTGTGTGTATATGGGGGTTTCTTCACTGGATGTCACTGCCTGGAACTGAACAGCCTTTCTATTTCCTCCTCCTCACTATCTCACACTGCTGGTATAAGTCTAATTTCTGGGACAGATGTTTCTGTTATCCTCCCAGGGTTTCCCACCGTTCTACATACACACATGCATGTGTGCACACACATGTGTGTATGTAGTTTTGTGTGTGAGGCCCCTTGTTTTTTCTTAGTCAGGCCTCTAAGGGCCTCCACTTTAAACAGGATATACCAGTTATCTGAAAACAAGGGTGAGACAGAGATTTTCCTGTGTGGGCAGGTCTTAAAACTCATAATAGTGAATCTCTTCTAGAAAAAAAAGACTATTCTTTTCTGAGTAAGACGTAAATGTGAGATAAGGATGTGCGCTTTTTTGTTGCTCTATGATAAAGAAAAATATCACAAAATGAATAACAAATAGATTTTAGAAATGCACAAGAGCAACGTAATTTCTTCACTGCTTTGTTGTGAGCACACCAGTATAGAAAAGGGGGAGTTGGTAAATAATTGCACATAATTGTAGTGTACATAAACACCACTCTCCACGTGCATGACCTACTTCTGAATAACTGGGGTTTTACACCAGCAGTACACCCACCCTACGCTGAAGCAGTGTATGTTCAAGATTCCTTGATTAAATTCAAGATACTTGTTGAAACTGTCAGTCCGTGTTTTTTAACACTAAGCCACCATTTCCTTCTCTCTCTCTTACTTGTCCCAAACAGACTTAATGCATTCTTTCCACTCTGTTTTCTCCCTCATGTCTGACCCAGCAACAGTTTAGGGCTCATAACCTCAGTGTACTGGTGGAGAAACCACAAGATAAAACTGTACACTGAAGCAATAATTCCACATTTATGACATGAGTTTTAGAAGAAATTGCCAATTAGGTCACCGTAAGTCTTTGTGAAGACTCATGAATTGTCCATATGTTCATAACAAACAGGATACGTGCAGGCTGTTTGTGTAGCTTTAATGATGCCGGTTGACTTTTTAAAAAACAAAATATGGACAACACTCTCACTGTCAGCCTGTCTTTCTCTGTGATGTGTTAAGCAGTTCTTGGGGTAATGTAAGGCATTCAGCTTTCTCTGCCTTTCCCCTCTTTTCCCTGTGAGTGTTCAGCCAAAGTTCAGCTAATTCAATCACTGCTGGATGACTCACACCACAGTGTCCCTCTCTGCACAGATGCACAGACACTCACACACATCCAAACACATACACATGCACCATGGTGCCTGGCTGGATGACATTTGTGAGATCAGTACTACGTCAGCCTCTCAGCACACTTGTGAAATGATGTCCTGTTCTCAAGCTTCATTAGCCGCTCAAACTCTCCATCTCATTTTTATCATCAAGCTTTTGCATTATCTCTACTATTGATATTTTAACATTCACTATTTGTTTTAATTCCTGAATTTATTGATCCATCTCTTTAACACCAGCCCAGATGTTTCCCTTGTCATAAATATAACAGCAACATAAAGTGCAAGTCTGGAGCAACAATAATTCCTATTTCATTTTCATAGAACATTAACTCTTTTTTTCCAAGGTTGCCTCTCTGTGGTAGAGATGACACTGGAAAGGTTTTTGTCACTACTTTCATTCTTACTTAGTATTCATTATTTTCCTCTTATCCGTCTGCTAGCAGCCATGTAAGGTGAATATGACCACAAATTCTTTCTATTCGCATTAAAAATTATTCACTCAAGCATGGCAGATGAGCAAATTACAGGCTGCATGCAATTTCCTGCATTTGCATGCCTACGCGTGTGTCCATGTTTGCATGTGTTTGAATGTCATATATGGGAGCACATGCAAAAAGATCAAGATACAGTAATTTAACTGCAGCTCTCGGATGTTGTCGCTGAGGCTGTTATTACTGCTCAAGCCACCCAGATTTATTGAGCGTTACTGTACAGAGCCTCTCCACTTAGCTTAATGACTGCCAACAGGAA